TTGTCTATATTAGAACACTTCTCATTGGGTAACAAAGTCGTATTTTTTCATTTTTGTCAAAAAGTGTCTATAGTGGTGAATTATGGTTTAGGTTTTTTTTAAATAAAGTTTCAAAAATTTCTATGTACTGTATGTGGAAAATGTAGTTGATTACGAAAGGTTACAATTTTTATTTTGAAGACTGCATGGTCTGCATAGGAAGTGTACATTTTTTATGGGGCAAGTTTCCAAGGGCGGAGTTTCTAGGGGCGAGTTGACTGCCAAAGAGTGTTGCCAAAGTGCGAGCAGGTGTGTTATTTGATCACAAGTGCGAGACATCGCAAGTGTGAGCCAGTGAGCCATGACGTCACAACAAAAGATACGAGATGTTAACGAGTCGGCTCAGGTCCCGCATTTATATCTGAAAGTTCGCTCTGATTGCGGTTGATTTTGACATCTTATCTACCACAACATTCATTCGAACTGACTTGCGCGAAAAAATATCATTGAGAAATAAATTGTTAAGGAAACTGTAGAGTAAATTGTATTCAGTTGAACTATTGTTTTTGAATAAAAGTTGTTATTTAAAGGTCTCCATGCCTATCTAATTATTAATCACAGACTCCGTGCGAAGCATAAGCATCATGAACCAAGTTGTAAACATGGGAAAATACCACGTGATACAAAGCTTACGTATGGGCAGTTTGGCAGATGACGTATGCTTCGACTTTCTTTTCCACAGTTGAATTCCAGTAGAGAAAAAATATAGGCCTATTACAAGCTCAAGAAACCCCGTTTTTTGTATAGCACACATTAATTTCACAAGTTTATATCTGAAATCATAACACTATATAACGGAATCATTCTTTCTGTGAACGTCATCCTCACCAACCACGTGAATTTTGTGTCGACGTTTGTGAAGCTACTCACATGACCCCGAGGACCTCTATTGTTAAGAGCGAAGCTGGTTCTAAAAAGCATAAAAAATTGTTTGTGAATGAAAATAGTTATTATTGCCAAATAGATAGATTTCGATGCTACTTATTCACAATCTGTGTTGTCCAAACTTTGACAGCAACCTTAGTCTTACATAGGCCTATACAGCTTACTATATACAGGTATGGACTTTCGAAATCGCGAGCTTGGTTTTGCACAGTGTATATTCGAGCTGTGCTAATTATGGGCCTTGGTTATTATAATAATGTCGCCATAATCATAAAGCAGAATGCTATGCTTAAAAAATCGAAAAAGTATAAGGACAATATTTGAAATTAGGTTCATGTTTTGCGCGAATTCTTTGTGTTTATGCTAGGTTGTGATTTACCGTTCCACCATCATGTAATGCAATCGCCTCCAACTTCCTGTCCTGCAATTCACCGACCCTGCAATTTACCGACCCGGCCCAAAGGAGAAGTGTGAACGTTCATAAGGCGGCCCTGGGCCGACTTCAAATACTAACTGTGAACGGAAAATTCATTTGAATCGGCCGTATTTAAGCCAGCCAAGGGCCGAACCTAGGCCGGCCTAATAAGTGTGATTGGGCTCTTATACAGGGTTTACAGAGACTACCACCACATGATAAAATAAAATACCGTGCTCAAGATCATAGGCAGTCAAACCACCAACCTTCATAAAAAAAAATTATTAGTTTATCACCACTCTCCCCCCTCCCCCCTCTCCTTTCAGCACTTTTGCTCTCCTTTCAGCACTTTTGGGGAAATATATTTTTATTTCAACCAGTCACTTTTCCATCATTTTTTCACTTGAAAAGCTCAGGATTTCTTGCAAATATGTTTACTGGTACAACAAAAACATATATTTAAAATTTGATTCTATTCTTATGACTTTATATAATGTGTCCCTAACCATCGATTTACTTTACTACCATCGGTAAAATAGGGGCGGGGTTAGCAAAAAAAAAAAAAAACCTCCCTCCCGCATTAGTTTTTTTTATGGGGCTACATATAAAACAGCAAGTTATATCTTAGATACATTAGCCTTTGATTCTAATATTTATATTCATTGCGGATGGAAAATGTCTTTAGTCTATCACATTTCATTACAGACTCTCATTAATCTGTTCTCATCTATGTCTCCCTAATAGACAACCAGCAAAATAATTTATCTTTATGCCTTGCATGTTATTACTAGGCTTCATAACACGACAAAATGAGGTACTGAAATTAGCTTGTGCCTTATCAGAGTATAGACATAATTATGATTTATAAGGTACATGTTGTCTTTGTAGTTACATCTTGATTCTTATACAATATTTCTTTCTGGACGTGATCTTTAAAAAATATCTTTTATCTAGTTACACCAAGGCCAAATATAAAAAAACACACACTTTCAATTAAGGGGGAATTTTAAGACAACCGGAGGAAAATTATTTTTTCATTTTGTTTTTTTTAATGAAAAAATCTCGGCCTTAGATCTAGTCAGACATGGATATTCATTAGGGATTTTCTTTGTATAGGTTTAGTGGCTTAAGAAAGAAAAGGCATCTTTTCCTCCAAACATACAGTAAATGATGTTTTATATGGCCTAAAATGTTTTTCACTTGTAATTTCAGCTTTCTAGTTAATTGATTTCAGGGAACACTTCATTAAAGAAAAAAAATCATATTCTTTGAAAACACACACAAAAAGTACAAATGGGCTATCATGCTTAGCACTGACTCCAATCCCAGCATGCCTGCAGAACTATTGCCATGGTGATTATAAACTGCTATTATACATGGCCTTCATAAAGGAAAGGTTTGAGGCAAAACAGCTGATTTAATGAGTTTATTAAAACAGGAAAATTCGGTAAACGGCACTATTATGCTATTGATAGAATGCAAGAAAAAAATGCTTCCAGGCTCACAGTGAGCCAGCTATTATAGTAATTCAGTCTACACCTAATCATCAAGGAAAAAAACATCAACAATTAAGCATTATGTCTAAATAAACTTGACATGACAAAGAGAATAATAGTAGAAATTAATTATCTTAAAGGATACGTACAACCTGTGGTTAAAACAGGCAACATTTAAAAAGATCTAGGAAGTAATTAACTTCTATAAAGTTTAGAAAGATTGAAACAATTAAGTCTATACATTTTAAAATCCTTAAATTTATTACTAGCTACTGAAGGTTTATGCAAAAAAAAAAATTATGCAATTAACTTTTAAGAAAATTATTTTCCCCTTCAAAAAATGTGCTATTAATTTAATATTCAATAAATGTGGTGTACATTCTATAATATTCATAGCTTTAATAGTAAGAATAAAACTAAAATGAATAACTGTTTTGTTCATGTAGGTCAAACATACACTTACTTTCAACACTGGAGAAAATTTACCTTGATCTAAGCAACTCCCTGATCTAAGTATAAACCGCATAAGGTTCAAAGATACTATCTACGGTTATTATCTATATTCAACCAGACTCGGTCAAAAAACAACACTTGGTCCCCAGAGAAAACAAACACCGCATATGATGTTCCTAATTTAACAAGGCAATGACCTTTCATCTAATGCATTAAACTAAATCTGCGAAGGATACTGTAACTACAACACAGAATCCCAATAATACAAATGGCTAAAATAATGGCGGATTTTCCATACTACATTAGGTTATTTTTTTCTGTAGTAGTTTTAGTAGGCCTATATATTACAGTTTATCACTCTGTGGGGACTAATACTGAAATGAGTTATGATTAAAACCATGCTACATTACAAGCAGTCCATATTCACTGATTCTTCCTGAGCCTCCTTTAATTAGAGTTATTATATTCATGTGAAATTTAATTGATAGAACAAAGTAGAGTAAACTGGATTATGATGAATGCACTGAGAAAAATTAGATAGGAAGCAAAGTCAATAATTAGGATGCGTAGTGTATTTGATGAGTAAATGATTATTTTGTAGAGGGACAAAATTGAGAAAAAAATTTTTATTATCCGTCATCAAATCAAATTTCAATGATATGATGAGTTCATCTACAAATTGTATTAAAAGAATCAATCAAAATATTTTAGATTGCTCCCAGGATCAAATGCTAATTAACGTTATGATGAACTGATATACAAGTTGTACATCTGATTATTTGATGAACCAATTAATCATTCTAGCATGCTATTGTGCCAAATATGATATGGCTATTAATATAGTCTAGACTCAATACCTGCAAATTTACTAAGTGGTATGGTACTATATTGACCAACAATGTCACTAAAAGGGAGACCAACTAAATAATAAGTTGGAATCTTATCATCTGTTTGACTATTGATGGAGACAAACACTCTCAAATAACTTGTTATCATCTGTGTAGAGTATACTCTCATAACCAGGGTACACATACAGGCTTGCATACACAACAGGTTGTAGAGCCAGGCTGTGATTCAGTGACAATCGGAACACAAGGTTTGAGTCTACAAATCACAACACCTGGCGTTTGTCATCCTCATGTAAATATCAAACGGAAGACTAAACACACAAAATGGGATGTTGCCATGACAACATCACTCTCAACAAACACAGACACAAGGGAGAGAGGTGTCTTGGGAGGAACAGTAGCGCCAGCTGATACTCCTTTATTATAAGCTCATAAAAAAGATGGAATTTGCATTTCCAAACAAAAGAGAGAGTTTAAAATCACATTATGTTGTCCTTTGAATGTCATCCACTGACCTTCTGCAAATCAAATTTTTGGCATTTCATACTCATGAACAAATTTATAGTAGCGAATAATAAGAAATGACATTTAACTCTTAGTACGTGATCAATCCATGCTTCTGATAACTATTTTGGTGTTTGAAGTATAATACTTAATATTAATCCATCAAATTTGACAAAAAGGATGTGAAAAAAATATGAAGTAATATAATCAATAACACCTACATTATCAGACCTCAGCCCCAACCACATAGGTCATATTTGATCGTCCTAATCTTCAGGGTTGGGATGGTAAGAAGTACATTAATGTAAACATACTTCTGGACTACAATCACACACAATGCTATCAACTTTATTAACTCACCTGATCTGATAAGGCCATTACGTGCATGTTTTTCGTTGTGTTTATGTGTAGCACATTAAATTCATTCTCTCCGCATAAGTCATACGCAATGTTCGTGAACGACGTGCTACCTGTCTTAGGTACACGATTATATATAACAACTAAGTCTCTGGTATCAAAAAACTTTTGGTTACTTTCTTTGCCAGCTGACGGCCGGAGCCCTTCAACAAAACTGTCTTTGTTGGTTCTTTTTAAAGTTCTTCTTTTCACCATATTAAACTCTCCATTTCTTTCCATTTTTCCAACTTTATTTTCTGTTAAAAACAAAGAGATATAAGTAAGAAATTTAGTTTACATATAAAAACTATTTTCTGTTACAGATACAAACTATAGTGGTAGTTATAACGCAACAGCTGAAAAGTAAAATACTGCATTTGAAAAACATGTTTTATTGACAATGTAAAATTAATTCTTCTTAAATAATTATTGAGATATTAGAAGCTTTCCCATTCGAAATAAGCAACTAGGTAAGACTATTCTTCATAATTATTTAAAACAATGTACTTTTTTAAAAACAATATTGAAGCATTGTTATATATAGATACATTAAATTGAATTTAAAGTAAAGAGTAAAAGTCTTTTAAATTATTAATATTCGATACCACTTATACAGTAATTTACTTAGAGAACAGGCAGAGATGCTTTTAAACATCGGCGCCATGTACAATACAGTACTCTTTGGAGGGTTTGAGATTGTCATCCTATGTGTAGCATACTGGGTAATTCACCATTAGAGGTATTCCCATATTAAAACCAGTTCACGTAAAATCAAGTTCACACCACCCTTTATGAATGCAAATACGATTAATTTTCCTTTCCTTTGTGTTTTTAATCAGCAACGATGTCTGCCAATTTTTATTTTCACTTAAAATTCATGGAAATGTGAACTGTCTACAACCATTATGTTTTGGCACATCATTCAATAGCATACCTTACATTTTGTTGACATTACAAGGATATCATTCAGGTAGTAAAAGCAGCCACCGTAGGTGTGTAATAAGCCCACTCCTTAATGGACAAGTGCATTATGTGTGCTCACACTCACTGTCAGACTAATCAAATCCGCATTATTATATTCATATAACTGGTGTCATCATTATCAAACTGTTGCTTTCATTGAGATTTTATACTATGTTGGCTTATATATTAGTATTAAATACATGACAAATACTTAATACGCATAAATTCTCTTTAATAATAATAATTAATAATAAATTTTATTTTATTAAACATGGAGACACTTGGGTGTTTTTCATCAAGGCCATACATGATAAGAGGAAACAAAATTATTGAAAACAAAATAATAACGAAAACAACAAAAACATAGCATCTAACTACAGTACCAGCGAAACTATCCCCTGCCCGACACAAACCCGGTATTTCTAAGTTTCGGGGAGAACAACGAATAAGTAGACTTTTTCTGATCTGTCATTGGATTTAGACATGTATTAATAGTTTTGTATAAAGTAAAACTGTTTTTTATGTAATTAAAACATCTTTTAAATACATTTTCAAAATTGTTACTATGTGTACTATGTATATTATAAGTTACTGCCACCCAAACATTGAGAAAACCTCCGAAAAATGAGTTTTAAATTTCTCATTGAAAATCAGAATTACATCAGTCACCTTCCAATACATCACAGATCGAAAATGATGATTAAGATCATTACTGACAAACCTCTGCATGTGTAACTTATATTTGTTTATAATGTGTATCTGGGAGGAGTAATTACCTGAACAACAGTGCTTTGGAATGTACTTCCTAGTAAAGCAGTATCATGTTCATCTATTAACACTTTCAAATCAAGGCTCAATGAGGCATGGTCCAACCATCCACTAAAGTTTGCACCATACACTAATAGTGACTTCATTTTACAAGAGGGGCTTTTAAGCAATGAGTGCTTCGCCTCGGTCCTGTAGTAGTTACGAGAAACCAGTAAACCACTTTTGAACTGACCTGAATTACCGCTATATGAGCAACCGATAAAATATTTTGATATGCAAACTCACATCGAAATACAGTAGTATTTGGCAGTAGCCGCTATTACTTGGGGATTCCACACTAGTCACTTAGTGCAAGCTCGGTAGACAAGTGGTTATGGTGCCAGGCTAGTTATCTAGCAGTCGTGGGTTTGATTCTTATCTGATTCAATTGCAAATTTTTTTTTTTGCAAGTATTTGGGAACGTACGAGTATTCGATATGATAACATGCCAGGTAGGACAAAACACACTCCTATGATATTTTCCTGAATCAAACTCACATCGAAATAATTTTTGTATAACTGAATTTGGTCGCGCATGCTCAATAGTGAGCTATCTTAACACTTTGAGTGGTGCAGCAAAGATACAATTAACAAGTCAATGCATAAAGTATATAATTATGCGGAACATTACATTATATTTATAAAGAAATTTACTAGTAAAATCTTGCTTACGCATATTGTATGACTATCATAAGTGACACGTTAAACATTAAATCACTGTATCACTGTATTTTGTTGCAACAAGAAAAATATTTAAAGTCAAAGCAACTGTTAACAAGTCTAACATCAAGTTACTAGCGCTAGGTAAGCCAAAATTACAGTATCATCATTAATTTATATCAAAATTATACTACAAATTATAGCCATGACATTCTAAAATTGAGATGTGTAATTTATTCATACCTCCTTAAAAAAAACTTATTAAAAGTTAAATGAATAATTGATATGAAATTATCAAGTATATAATTATAAATAATTGATAAGAAATGTGTAAATGGTAATTAACACAAGAATTGTCTCATGTGTTATCACAAACTTACTTTCAAAGTGGGAGGGGGAACAAGGCATGGTGGCTGTCCTTACCTCCTCGTTAAAATTTCCAAGATACTTGACTTGGAACATAATTGAGATAATTCTATATTCCATTTAATAGGAATATCTTTATTACTCATCATTATTATCATGAGTGATACAATTCAATAGATTTGGTACTGTACAAAGCCATGAAATGGCAATTATCTGCTTACATAGACAACAATAACAATAATCACAAGAGCCTGACATATAGAATGCAATAATACGCATGATGATAATATCAATAATTTAGTAGATGTTGGTTGAGTTACTTTGGTAATGGAATGAGTCTGTCAGCTTGTCACCCTATTGTAGGGTCACCCTATTGTAGGTCCACCCAGTATTACATAAATAACAATATGGTATTATACCATTGTTCTGTTATTATAGTTATAACCCAAAAAAAATTGTTTGTGCTTGATTTTGAAAAAAAAAAATGTAAGGAAGAAGCAGGTGGATAAAGATTCCACTGAAAATATCATCCTGATCTACTGCAAATGTACAAATTAATAGCAAGTTGGAAGTAAAAAAGTAATACCTTGCCTAACTGTTACAAGGAAACTCCACTCGGGGGAAAATAAAACATTCACACTTTAGTATGTAACACATACTAAAGTGTGTGTTACATACTAAAATGTGTAACACATCAGGGAAAAAAGTGAAATCAATCATCCTTGTCAATGGTATTACCATAGTTCCTCTAGTATAAGCCCATCCCCCTTGAACACAAACTGGTTCGATTTTGCAAGGTGGGATTATACCCTGGGAATCCACTTTTTTAGTCAAAAGGTATATTTTTCATCAGATTCACTGTATGTCTAATATAAGGCCAATATTTTATATTTTTTAAGAGTATTTGTAAAAGTCAGCTACTCAATCAAATCATACCCTGGAAAAGACTGGATAATATTGGGCGTAAAGTACATTATGGGGGTAAGCTTATTTATCCAAGGTAGGCTTATACCCGAGCATTAACAAAAAAATAATAGTGAAATCAGTATAACAAGCAAAGATTCCTATTAAAAAATTTCTATGTAAATTGACTCGTAGTCCCTATAGAAAATCTAGTGATTATATTTGCCATCTATTATTTTAAAAAGTGTAAAAACGAATCCATATTTAGACAACTTGGGAGTTATTGAATGTGTGGTATACATTTATAAATATAAATCAATTTGTTTATTATCCTCAATAGAACTAAAATAACATGTACTTAGGAAGTGTTGTAATATGTTTTCATGTATTTATCCATCAGTGGGGGTGAGTTACCACAGCAGTAAGAAATTAATATTTGCTGCAAGATGGACCTTAATGCTATTGGTAATTTCCTTTTCAACAAAAGACCTTTTACTTTTACATACAATACCCATACTGTATATCAATCAACTTTACATACTGCATACATCAGTCACTACTTACTTGCATACATTATAAAAACAGTTACTGTAGTAATTTTAATTGACTTACTTTGGTACAATACACACATATAAATAATTTAGCAACATGCAGCCCACGAATTTCACGCCGGCAATGGGCAATTGCTGACCATATTGCCGAGCCAGAATTGACATGTCGACAAGGACGCGAAGCCACGCCCATAAAGTCAAGAAAACCTTAGACAATGGCGGCTAGACTTACCAAGTTGGCGAACATTTTCTTTGCTATCAACCTTCTTTAAGAAAGAGAATTCAGGGAAAGGTGGTATGCAAATGAATTATATATTCATAGTGTTAATCTATTTCATGGAACATGCAGGGAAATTGTTGTAAAAGCCTCTGTATTTCGCTTCCAAAGGAAGAGGGAAAAGCCACATTCAGTCAACCTCGTTGTCAGCACTGATGCGCACTCCTCGTGTACTATAACCAAGCACAGACATCTAGGCCTAGGTTCACGTATGTTTCACGTTGACAATCAGTTGTCTAAGGAAATTTAAATGTTTCGAGAAAAACTTTTTAATCATGTGACTAAAAGACGCTCGCTAATTAGTCGGTTTATCTGTCAATCAAATCTCGTCGAGATGTTACTTGCTGCAGGTCGGCAATTTTTTGCCGACCTAGGCCTAGATTTCTTTGCTTCAAAAACTGCTTTGAAAGTCAAAACTTTGACTGAAACAGGTACGTCGTCAAACCAAGGAAATTGGTTGTTTGTAAAAAAAGATTTGTTTGTACAATAATTATTTTTAATAGGTATACAGTAAGTACGATGTGTGTACAATCGTCTTGTCTTTCTCGCCTAGCAAGGCCTAGCCGTTTCGTAGGCTAGACAGGAATGACGCTAGCAAACCAAGGTCTAAAACATCGCCCAATTGAAGCCATGTGGGCTGCGTAGATTGTAATGCTTATCTAAATCTATTATTTGTCTTCATTTTATAGTACAGTATTACCATATTTAAAATGTTGTTTATTATCTAAAAACAACCAAATTCAACATATTGTAGGCCTAATCCTACCATCCGTTTAAGCGCAAACACGATCGCATTGTGACTTCACTAACTGTACCGTCATACCATTCCTTCACCAGCAATATATTGAGTTAATAGAGAAATTAACAAAATCACAATCTGTAGTTGACGATGTAAAGTCGAGCTTTCGGAAAACATCATAGTTTACACTATATGGGCCTAGGTAATAAAAAATTGCAGAGACTGCCAACCTCTGAGAATTTAAAGTCGGCAAATTTTTGCCGACCTAATTTTTTCCAAATTTCATGGTCTGAACATGCACTTACTCTACATACTAATAACACCAACAGACAATTAATACATGATAATGGAAATTTCAAAGATACATTTCTCAATTTGTATAATTTTCATTCCAAAAAGCTCCTATTGAATGGGATACACAGGCATGCCTGAGTGGAGAATTTTGCATGAATTGTTTTGCAGGTAGGCTTTGGTACATGAAAATGCTACGTCTACTACAGTACTATGGTGGCGAATTCACACATACAGAAACTACTATTCAATGATGCAAGATTAACTACAGAATTTTTCTTCAGAATCAAAAAACCTAACACCAGATATTAGCATGCTAATAAAAAAATCATTGATATGAAGATCAATAATTAGGAACAGAGCAAGGTAAAATATTAAAATCCATACATAAGTATGAACCTGGAACTATCCACAGATCACTATATAATCACTGCTCTACGGCCAGCGGCTGTTTAATGACTTGAAAATAGCAATTTATCATATACAATGCTGTGCATTTCCCACGAGGCAGCTCAGATTCTATCAAACTCACGGTAAGCTGTGAAGAGCTTCACGTCAAACACTAGTGGTATGAAGACTGCACAAATCTACACATTATCACAATTTTGCTTCTGTTGCAGTTCGACATTACTTTGATTTTCAGTCATTTTAAATTAACATACTTATGTCATCAACTGGGAAAATGGCTTGATTGTAGCTTAGCAATGATTCAAAGCTGAAGAGTGTGTTTATCTGAACATTGAGGCTTATCTGAGCATTAATCACAGAGGATATATAATATGCTGGTGATGTAAACATGTAAATGCTAATAAGGAATTCAAATTCGCAAAAGCCTTTGGAAGAATCTTAATCTTATATCTCAGCCCATTAGATCCCGAAGCTCTGTGCCTTAGCGAAACGTGACAATGGATGTCCCACTTAAGTGATATTGTCAACACATTTATACAATAAGACATAAGTATATTGCTTTAGGTGATGGATAAGAATAACACAAATATAATGAAATATCAGATCTAGATTTGGTGAAAATACGCTTTGGGAATTAAAACCAATAATTTTTAATGTAATTAAGGTATGAAAATGTAATAAATGTATTTTATAATATATGTAAAACATTTATGACACAAACTACGCAAAATTCAGATGTTTATAAGACTTAATTCTGAACTGTACATTACTTGGAAAGTTCTTTAAAAAAATTTGAAATTTTAAAATTTTGATATTAATTTAATTTTATAGGTCAAAAAGTTTTCTTAAGCCAAAATCTGGAAAAAATTGGGTCTACTGTAAAATAAAATTCATAACTTTCTGTGATCCTTT